TCCACATTTACAGCTATTTTTCACTGAACATTTCTCAAATGGCTTCTTCAGATTTTTGCATCAGCAAGATGTCATCTGAAAGTCAGTGGTGTGCCAGTGACAGTTACACAAAACCCGCTAATTAACCTAGCAGATTTTCCAAGACCACCTTACCCTGGACCATTCAGCCTTCCAGCTACCCTATAGCAGCTAAGCCAGTGGCAGTTCTGACTGCTCACACATGCCCCATGTCTACATTGGAGCAAACAAGGCAATAGCAATCAAGCAGGTGGAGGCAGAGAGATCAGAGACCAGGGAGATGACCACAAAACTGAAGAGCTCAGAAGATAAGGATAGCCCAAGACAATTTGAGGAGGTCAAGAAATCACTCAAAACATGTGCTTTCCACAATTTGCCACTCTCAGATATGCACATATGTGATCCATTCATCCTAAATTAACACAGTCAGGCATCTCGGAACCTGGGCTATGGACATCCTCATATTATATGTTGTACATATTATATGTTATACATACAATATGTACAACTGTGTGTTGGGTATTGTTCCAGGTAGCTTGACTTTTGAGAATGAAACTAAGAGCAAATAAAAGTCAGAAGTGTCTTGAAAACAAAACTTTTGAAAGCTTCTACATTTGCTTTTATTTTTCCAAAAGACAAAAGCAAAGGCTTGAATTATTCAAGAGTATCCTGTAATTCAGCAAGCATTGCTAATTCTTCTCCTTGTCTGGCCAAGGGCTATTTTTCCCTCCCCCAGCTCTTCACAACACAAGAAGCAAGAGAAACAATATGCCACTGACACCTCAGTAAACAAAAGACTTGCCAGCCAGACATCAGCAGAACATTGCTTTCCTAGCCATATACCCAAGATCATAACTTGGTCCAGAAAGATATCTTTGCCCTGTGCCGTGCACATGATGCTGCAGTACTTGCCAACAGCAAATGGCAATTGCACTCCGAGTTTGCATAATGCTGGGCAGCAGGCCATTTTCACTGTTTATCGTGGCAGAGTTCTCAAAGATGTATATTAAAATATTGGCACCATAAAAAGGCTCAGTTGAAGTTACTTTCTCATTTCCAGGGAGGCCTTACAGAAAGCAGGAAAACATGTTTTAATGGAAACACTCTGCTCATCATGCATTAATACCATTCCCTCCAATGAAATTTTGAATAGCTTTACAAATGTTTTGATAATATATAAGGAAGCGACTCCAGTGATTCTGAGGCTATCTTGGGAGATGAACTTCTGATTGATTCCAGAGCAAGCAGGGACAATCCTTCTGATGGTTCCTCATTAACATTGTCAACTGCAAACTATTTTCATTCTAGGTTCACCTTACAAAGCAGATCTGATCATGTCAAGCACAAACGCATTTCTTTAAGAGTGCATTTCTAGCAAAAATGTCTCCAACTTGGTCCCAGATGGGTTCAGGCTACTGAGATGTTTGAAAGGAAGAACAAGATGTGCACCTCACCCAATCTCACAATGATCCCTGATTGGGAAATTAAAAGCAGGAGATGTGTACTTACGAACTGTTCAAGCGCTGGCAGGTCCAGACTTCAAGAACCAGAATGATTTCAAGGACATGGAATGAAGTCATGTGAAAATATCTTGAACCAAGCAACCAAGGAAACTAATTCTCATCCTAGTTGTTTCCTTTGTCCCCTCTCTGGAGTGGTGGGACCAGAGGTGCAGAGAGAAACTTTGAAGGGCAGGCAGATGCTCACAATCAGAGGCTCAGTAGCTGGACCTCCAAGAAGTCTCCAAAAAGCAGCTGTGTTGATCCCTATCAACAAGCCAGTTCAGGCAGATCACTTCTACCTGGGGCAGGTCTTGGATAGTCTTAATTGCCCCTTTGAGACAAAGCCACCTTGAAATACTTTGCGCTATTAGGACTGCTCACATAATATGGGCTTGCTGGCAAAGTTCAGTTCACACACGCACACACAACAAACGCTGTGAGGGTTGCAGCTAATCACAGAGGAAGTGCCACAGAGGAGTGGCAATCGACACGACCCGCCCGTTAATTAAAAAGCCACCACACTCTGACCCTGTGAGCTTTGGCTCTGTTATGGCATTGAATATCATCCCCTGCAATAGGAAATGAGCTGGTGCACATGCATCACGTGGTAAGAACTTACCATGTACTTTGCTTAGCTCATTTGGTTCCTAACTGGACATTACCAGGGTGGCACGAAATCGTGTCCCATGAAAACAGCAAGCGTGCGGCACGCGGCAGAAGTACGCATTTGGGTGCTTAGGAAAGAAGCTGGGTCTACCATTATTACTTAACATTGACACGTGGTCAAGTATGTGCTGTACTGTATCGGACACTCTATCCCACACGGGTTCAGATGTTACCACTGTGGCGCAGGACTGTACCAGTACACAAAAGTGACACAACCTATGGCTGGGGAGCTTATCACTTCAATAAGCAAGACAAGGGCCTTCAGAGACAGACAGTATACAAGAGATTAAGGGCTGTGGGGGAGCCAAAAAGGAAGGCTGCCTTCCAGGAGTTTGATGATGTGACTCCAGAAAGGGAGCAGAACAGTTACCCGCATTAAATTGTTTAACATATGAAGATGAGAAACCTAAATCTGTCGCAGCTGTGAACATATTTCCTCTGCATCGTGTCTCAGAATCTTCTTCCTTGCTCCAATTACCATTAGCTTTTGTATGCAAACCTGTTAATCAGAACAAAAGGCAATTTTGTATGAAAAGTAGCTCACTCTCATTATTACATGCTCCCTGGGGACTGAGGATAGTTAGTATGAGAAATGTTGCCCATGACAGGAGCACAGGATGATGAAGCTAGGAGAAAATGGATACATTCTCCCTTAGCAAAACAGTTACTGACCTAAGGGAGCAGCTGGTTTTCACATAAGAATCCCTCAAATCTTTAGAAGGACTTTCAGAGGGTGTTGTGAGAGTTAGCTCTGCACAGAACCTTTAATCAGGGCTTTCTGATTTTTTGTGCCCCCCTTTTTTGCAGTGCACTGCATAAGTGATTTGATTCTGCAAAGGACTGGAGTTCAAGCGACACATATTAGAAGTGCAAATTCTACCACTGTCATTTTACCTGTTCTTCTTCTTCTTCTTAACTGCAGCCTGATTGGTGCCAGGTCATTAGATGTGCTGAGGACAAAATGGTCGGGCTCACTTCTCTGCTCCATTTGCATGTAAAATAGAAGCTCTCTGCTACATCAGCTTTAGTTTATGGATCAAAATCCACCTTGCCATCTTTCCTCCTCTCCATCCCTCCTTTGCACCTGGTGTCGAGTCAGAACACATAAGCTGACATGATTGCCATGGCAACTGGCTGTGATGTCATGCAAATAAAGGATTAGCAGCGATTTTCACTGCAGGATTGTTCAAAAGGAGATGCTGTGTGAACAAGAAATGCAAAAAGAAGAAAAATAGCTTGAATATTGTTAATGGGGGGAAACAGAACATTACCAGCATTGTACAATCTGATTTACAGATGTTCGCTCCCCACCACAAAGCCATTTTGATCCCCTTTGTGTTAATTGTTTCCATTCGGAGAAAAGTCATGAACCCTGAAAAAATGCCTGAACAAACATCAGGGTGTGTGTCTTTATCTGGTTAAGATGGTGATTGGATTTTCCTTTTCCACTTAGACAGTAACATCAAAGACACTGACCGCCTGTGGTGCCATTGGATGGGCAACTTCCCTGCCGTTGTTCCCACCTTGTGGAGGTTTCCATCCTCTCTAATTAGGGATCCAAAGACGTGCTCTTTTTGTACTCTGCTCCTTAAAAAAGGTTGCCCTGTGCCTTCATGTACAGAACATTGGTCCTGAGTCCCTAACATTTTGGGGTCAGTGGCCACATCTGGGTGCTCTGGGCAGTCACAAAGTGCTCATTTCCTGGAAGGCAAACTGGTGAGACTAACACAAACGGAACTTGACAAGATCCTCCCTATAGAAGCAGAGGTGGTTCTGAGCTCACTTTTTGTAACTCAAAGGAAAGATAATGCTTCGGAGGGGGTGCTTCGTGGCACAGACGTGCCCCATTTTTAAAATTAATAAAATAATATTGTGGCACAATCCAATGGCCACTAGAGAAAGCCCAGATAGCCATCAGGAAATTCAGAGTCCTCACTCTGACCTTGGAGACACACTCTGAGGTCGGAGCTGGGACTGCTAATTCAGCGCATCTTTCTGCTATCCTCATGGCTGCTGTGAAAGGGACCCTGCTGGATGCAGCTCTGGAGGCAGAAGACTGATCCTACGTGGGGCTGGCATGCAAGAGGGGCATTCTGGGAGGCAGAGGAGAGGAGTGAGGCTTCACCACACAAGGAGGCATCCTTTCTTTCCCATGGGCAGGGATATAATTCTTAAGGTGGCTGAGAAATGATGGAGGCGATCTCCACCTCTGTGCTTCTGCCTTTGATAAGATACCGGCAAACCTGCAAGTTCCAAGGGTTATCAGCTGCGCATGATTGCACAGATAGATAATGGCATCGATTCCAAGTTGCATGTTGGGCTGATGGTAGACAGATAGCTGATGTGGTTTTCAGAATTACATTGATGTTGATGCTCTTTCTGCACAGATAACACTATCCACAGTACTCTTTCACAGAAGTACCAGGTCACCCAATTGCTGCCTCCACACGACCCCACTTTGGTCATGAACTACTACCAAAGATCATGACAAAGAGGCTCCCAGCTACATGAACCTGTCCAGGGTAACAGCACCAATATGCTCTGTCTTGATGACTTCCACTGAAGTTGATTTTAGAAAGTGTATTTTTTCTTACAGATCTGATCAGAATTACCTCAAAGCATGTAACCACTTTTTGTATTTTGGAAACACTTCTGGCACTTTAATAGGCCCAACAAATCATTTTTTGTAAGCTAATGTTTGCAACTGCTTAAAGGAAGGGGAGCTCAAACCACCAGGATCACGATAAAACAACATCTGTGAAATATTTAAAAATATCAGCTAATAATGGCTACATAAAAAAAAAACCTTCAAAGGAGGTTGAAACCAAGACAAAAAGTCTTTTTATTCTAAATTTCTGTATTTACAAAGTGCCATTTTACACAGTGTTGTAAGCCTCTGCGTAAAAGAGCCATAGTCATCCAAGGTTGTTGTGCTTACATTAGTAACAAATTTTAACACTTGAGTATATTAACAAAGAAATTTAACAGGCATAAAAGACACAGATAGCATGTGCTGAATTTTCACATATATTCTAGAAACAGGTTGAGGCAAAAGTAAAATGGGCTGAGTTTCTTTTCTATTTTTTAAAAAAAGGCAAATTATCAATCATACACAATACATGGTGCTTCTTTCCTTTTGTTCATTTATGCATGATATGCTGAGTTTTAAATCTCAAGCCGTTTCACATCAGGATTTGCAGGCACTTTAGCAATCCAGTTATACATTTTTTCACAATACATGAAAGTTCAGACCCTCAAACATAAAACCAGCTGTTGCAAAGGAAAAATTAATATACTCAATCTGCACATTAAAAATAACTCTGCCAAAACAATCTTTTCGTTTCAGTTATTTTTGGATAGCAACATGTTTTCATGATGATGTGTACCAATTTCCCCCCATTTATCTTTTAGTTATAAGTGTTTGTGGCTGATTTTCATTGTGATGCTGAGACACAAAAATACAGTAACGTGGAAGCGAGGCGCAAATTGTCCACAAGCCTTTACAAATTGTCAAAAAAGACAGGTTTAAAAAAGCTATTTTAATTCAAAAATAGAAATTCATTTTTTCTGTCCTGCATTTTCCCACCCACAAAATAAACACAAATTAAATTACCAAGTCATATGCAGTAACTGAGCATTGATTCATGAATAATTCATTTTTGGGGTTCCATTTTTATGTAATGGGAAACATTTTATAACCCCACCCCACACAAACATACTACACCACACCAGGCAGGTCTTTTCTTCCCATCCATTCCACATATTTGATGAAAGCACAAAATTTTCTCCAATGATATTCACCAATGTTAACTTATAAATACAATGTTCTCACCGATAATATAATGTATATATGGTTAAGGTATAAGACAAATGCAACAAGGTCCCCAGGATAAACGAAACTGAACAATACAAAAAGTTTTGCGTAGGAATAAGGATAAAGCTTTCCAATAGTACTCGAGAGTGAACATGGACCACTGAACAAAAACAGTATTTCGGCATACGGACATTTAAATATTGATCGCTGTAAGACACCTTGGACCAGAGACCTCACGTGGACCTCTGCTTATGACGGACATGCACCCCTTTCCCTCAACCTGAAACGATAAAAGGAATGGCGATGCATTCTCTACTCAGATGATGTATGTTGGAACCATAATTCTCTGCGGGGTTGAACACCTGATAGCAAGAAGTAGCCAAGCAGCCATTGGATAGCACAGGACCAGGCCGGGACACATAACTAAAACACGTCACTTGCCTAGAGTATGATTGTCAAATGATGGATCCTTTTGTGGCTGTAACACTTGAGACGAGACACAACGGCAGAAGCGTAAGGCCCTCCAATTCTTTGCCCATATTGCTAAAGGCACTGAAACAGGCAGAAATTCCTTAGTACCTCCAACGTAAAACGAAGGATGCTTTTCTTCCCCAGATACAAGTCTCTTCATATGAAAATGTTCCATTATTGCATGGGCTGTTGACTTGTGACTCACGAGTAAAATGGTCTTCCCTTTTCTGGCGTCTGTAATCTGTTTAACCTGGCAACCTGAGATGGTGAAGGTGGAACATCTTGCCTGAAGGGGCCTTTTGGAATCGCATAATTAGGGTCCTGAACTTTCTTATAGGAGTCATAATTGCTGGACCCTTCAGAAGATGTCTTTTTTTTCAGTTGCTGCTCTTTGCGTCTCTGCTCCTGACGCAACAGCTCTTGTGTTTCAAGCATGACCCGGGCGTTGAAGCCGTGGCCTCCCATGTAGCCGTTCCTGGAACCCTGATAACTGGAGTACCGGGGGTTGTCTTTTGCACTCTGGAAACCTTCACCTGGAGGGTAGTTCTGCTCCCAGGAATCTTGAGACACGGAGCTTGCATTTTTCCGGCTTTGCCTGAAAAGAGTCACATGTCCATGTAAATAATACGTTACCATTATTTTATTTTTCAACACATGTTTATTCTACCATCCTGCCTCGGTGAGGTGCTCCAGGCAGCTCACTACTGATCGCATGTTTTATCGCTAGGTCTCTTTTTAGTATTTGATGTTTGATGTCTTAACATGGTGTTTGGGACTGTTCACAGTTTTTAGGTTGTGTTTAATGGGATTTTATTGTATTTTATTCTTGGACTTGAGAGCTTCAGCAATGCATGCACTGAATGAGTAAACAAACAAGCACACAATAAACAGGCAAAACCCATAAATCAGTATTGCATGCTAGAACCAGCACCACAAGAGAGTTCCTGCCTTTGTGTTCCTAGAAGGTTTCTGCAGGTCACTGAGGAAAACAGGATGCGAGACTAGCTTCTTCCATCATCGGATCCAACAGGGTTGCGTTGCACTCTCTAAAAAAGTATCCAGCAGTGAGGGGGACAAGTGAGCTGCTCTTTGGAGAGAGCTCCACAATGCAGGCACCACGTGTAACCACGTTCTGCACGTCCAAAGGCCACCAGGACTCTCTGGTCCCCTCCCCTCCCACTGGAAGGTCCCCTTTCTGCCTCCTCTGAGGTTATTTTTCCAACCAGGGAGGGTAATCAGTGTGGCTGCAATCTAACAGAAGTTAGATGCGTTTCTTTTGCACTGACCAGCTGCTTTGGTTAGAACTGAAAAAGGAGGGCATAAATTAAATAATGTGAGTGAAATATAAACTGACTTCATTGTATTAGGTGGCTTGTGCTTTACCTTGTGCTGCAGCTTTTGCTCCACACACACACACACACACACACAGTCTTTTTATTGCAGTTGTATATGCAATGTAGATCAACATGCTTGCCACTTTCCTTTTCATTTCCATTTTATATATCACTTTGTTCAGCTGTAATTTTCCCATATTGTATATATACAATATATATCGGGTTCTACCAGAAGTACTCTGGATTCTACCCGATACTGGCCTTTCTTAGAGAAGAACCACTGAAATGAATGGGACTTAAGTTAGACTATCATTGGATGCAAACCTCCAGAATTTCAGGGCCAAGCTTCTTGCTTAGCCATCAGTGCTGATTTCCCAGATGTTGATACAAATCTAGACACCTTGATAAGAGCATTCTAAACTATAACTCTCTTCAGCTCTAATAATTGGTCATATGGTCCCCCTCTGGGCTGGGGCACTGAAGCTCAAAAACCTGGAGGGCACCAGATAGCCCCCTGGTCTACAGCTATGAACAGAAAAAGGTAGCAGAAGAAATTGATAGCTTTTGAACAGGGGTGGAAAACCCTCCAGGTTTAGTTAGACTGCAACCCCCATCAGCCCTTGTCAGCAGTACTGCCAATGGTTATGGGTGTTGGGGTTGCAGTCCAGCAGCAGACGAAAGGACACAGACTTGCCATCCCTGTCTAAGAAGAACTGCAGCACAATTCAGACACCATCTCCATCATTTTGAATTCCCGGGCTTTATGTTTCTTCTGCCCAAAGTGTTGGCCTTGCCCTTTTTGCTTAGAGTAACCTGCTGTTCCTCAATTTAGAGGAGATCCTCCAATGCAAAAATGAACCATTTGAATGTGATACAGCTAGCACCGTAGCAGCAATTCACATCTTCAATTTTGAGGATGCAATAGAGCAGGGCATGGGGCATCAGTATGCAGAGACTTAACAGTCCCGATCGCCAAAGGCCTGTCTTTTATCTGAGGAAGACCTTTGCATGTTCATCCTGCTGTAGATTAAAAAAAAAACCTGTTCGGATGATATGTAATACCTGAACCATCAACTCAAGGAAATTTAGGCAAATTGCAGGATGGTGGAGCTGCACCATTAACGGTGTATGCGTTGAGGAGGAAGGAATTCATGCTATGCTTTCCGTGTGCAGCAGGTGGCAAGACACACAGAAAGAGGAGGTGGGATGCAAGAGGAGACCGTCGGACACAAGGAGCGAGCTGGACTTGTGCACACTCCTTGGGCTCGTAGCGCACAAAGTTCATGGTCCTCAGTCGATGGCCACTTGCTTGCCAGTTGACTTTTAGGCAGACAAGGCTACACCAGAAGAAACAATTTCCACCCACAGCAAGGAAGCTGTTCTGGCATTCCAGGGAAGTGGAAGATGAAGCAAGTGCATTTCCTATCTCCACTACATCAGTAGGAGATACTTCCCTACACAGAAGCAGCTAACAGTCGCTGCTCCACATTATGCCTTGTCCACAGCAGGACTCCCCTTTACTCTGCCTCTCCTAAGCCAGTGACAGAGCACCACTTATCAAATGTGATTCCCTTGCAAAGAGGGGACATAGAAACAGAGTGAGTCAGAAGGGGCCTCGCGCGCCATCTAGTCTGAACCCCAGCTCCAGCCGGCTCCACTCATGACATGCAATAGATTCATAGTGGGACTGGAGGGAAGACCAGGTTCGAGCAACTTGTGCCTATCCAGATGTTTTGGTCTACAACTGCTATCATCTTTTACCCTTGGCTAGGCCGGCTAGGATGATATAGGTTGTGAGCCAAAATATTTGGAGGGCCATACGTGGTCCACTCTTAGCGTAGGCACCATAAGAATACTTATGGCATCCATGCAAATGGAGTGAATGTACAAAGTGAAATTTTGAGGCTATGGACCCAAGAATTCAAAGAGATAGGTAGGACACCAAGAGATATTAATTTAAACTATTTATTGGGACTGATCAGGGCCACCAATGGTTCTGAAATACCTTGCATTTTCTATTTTAAATAACTTTTTTATTAAAAGTTAATTTCTGAACAGAGGCAAATATAGAGGCAAATTAAAAATATGCCAGGCTTAAGTCTAGTTATTGATGGAGGGTGGTACATTTAACACATTCTTTAGTTTTTGATTGCTTGTTTACCTTACATTCAAACATATGGATAGGATTCACTAGCTGCCTGGGGGTTTTCACTGTGACTCTTCATAATTGCACATTATATAATTACCCTGTAAGCCAATGAGGCTGCTCATAACTTTTTGAACTTAAAGGGTTATGGGTATCCTAAGCACTGTGGGAAAACCATGGAGGCAAAGGCTGCCTTTACGCTCCTGCCGCCACTTACATATAAAACTCTTAGATGGCCTCAGACCCTGAGGAGCAGCCTTGGAGCTTCAGATGGCACAGATGGGGAGATGGAGCGACCGCATGCCTAGTTTGGAGTCCTGGCCCTATCCTTGGGAACGCCTTGGAGGCTGAACTGGGACGCCAGATGATCCTATAGCTTATTTAGGCTCTGTATAATGACCATAGGATTGGACACTTAGTCTCCTTTCCAGAATGTGAGGAAAGACTTTGATAGATTGCTGTCTAGGTCCTGAGCGCTTGTGTGTGTGTATAATATAGTATATAATATACACTATAGTTTGTGTGTGTAGCGAGAATGGGGGAGGGAGAGAGAGGTTGCTGTCTATATTCTGAATCTCTCTCTCTCTCTCTCTCTCTCTGTGTGTATTATATAGCATATAAAGGTTAGATAGTTTAACTTTGCTTCTAGCCATGGTTCTTTGCCACAGCTCCATTTACCAGGACTTCACTATTAAAAGCACTGCAGTTTTCCAAGTTTATTTTCTAATACTGGATTGCTTTTATGAGTTTGGAAGATCAAAAGGCAAAAGCATAAAAATCTTGTGTACCCAGATGAGATAAAAATGAAGTGTTAACTTAGAAGCCTTTTATATTTCAAAGAGAAAAACTTTGCCATGAAATGAAAAATTCTCGGGAACCTGAACTGCATTGTGCTTGAGGCTGTGAAGGTTGATACAGGTTAGTCGAGATGGTGTCATGGCACGCAAGTGTTCTTCATGCACAGTCCAACTTCTGAGATAACAAACCTCTCAGTATGCCCGCAGTTGAGCTTCCGAGTCAGAAGTGGAAACTGTCAGTTTAGTTGGATTAAAATTCTGCACAAGCCAGATAGTCAGGGACAGGGAGACAGAGGAAAAAGGGGGAAACAGGAGCCTTAGGGTACAATTCTATGCATGGCTGGAGTGAAAAAAGCCATATAATTGCCAGCATATCTGGCTGAAGGATGCTGAGAACTGTATGACTGTTTTCTGTCTAGATAAGGATAGGATTGAGCCCGTAGGGAAGGACGGAGTGACAGAGAACTACATCTGCCAGGCCTCCTTCCACCTGGAATAATGCTGTTGCAGCTTTCTTCTAGGTATCCCAACATCGGAAGTGTGGAATGCCATGTGCAGGACGGGGACGTGACACTGCTGCTCTGCCCCATGCTGCCAAGGACAATTTCAGGCAATTGACAGTGCTTTCTTTTGGTGGAAAGCAATTCTGATGTTCTGATGGTTTCACAACTAAATCAAAGGACAGGCTCGTTTGTGACCTTGGTCCTTCACTTCTTCCATCTGTACAGGCTGAAGGACATGGTGGCTACACACCTATGAGCAGCACAATGAGATCTCTGAGTGACTACATTTTCCATCCAGTGGGTATTCATTCAGACTTTTGTTTAGGTTTACAAAAGCCTCCTAAAATAACTCTGCTTCCGAATCCCTTTTGAGAAACAATTTACAGCAAAGTGGATGAGGGTTCAGAGCTGCCAAAGTTTCAGAAATGCACTCCAGAAACTTTCCAATAGTAGGCTCTGAACTGAGAGGTAGATGTGATTCTAAACAGATTCATACTCAAAACCACAATGATTAATCGACTAGGCCTCATCTTGGTCTATCTGCTAGCAATGAGACAAGTTCAAAGTTGGTTGGACTGTCTGAAGCACTTTGATGAGTAGATATAAAAGTAATGTATGAATTTGAAAACAAGATTTGTTTAGAGTGTAGATTAACCATGAAAGAAAGAAACAAAGGCTGAAGTACTTTTTAATTTGCTTGTGCACAGATGTTTTGTAGCAGAGACCTTGAACAATCTGTTTCCCCTGAACTGAGCATATATTTGTACCTCTGTGGAAGGTTATTCCACAGTTCCCTGTAATTTATGGATGAAACAATAATATGCTGCATGTTTTTCCGAAAGAAAACAAAAGCTATTTACCAGAAACATAATGAGATAATTTTTTAAGTGAGAAGACAAGAAGACCCCTCCTAGAGCAGACCAAAGAATCCATCTAGTCCAGCATGCTCATTTCTGGCTAAAGGACTATGGGAAGTTCACACGCATAGCATGCAGGGAATTCATGGATGAGGCCTACAAACTGTTACTTTTCCAAATGTTGTTGGACTCCAGCAAGTCCCATTAGCCTCAACAAGTGTGGTGAATGGTGATGAGAGTTGCAGTCCAGTGACTCCTAAAGACAGGAACTGCAGTCAGAGTGGGTATGGTTGCACACCCCAGCTGAGTCTCACTGACAAGAGCCCTCTAGAGCTCACCTTTGGAACCCACCTGCCCTTCTGGTTGTGGTGAGAAGAGAGAGCAGTAGATGCCATTGTCAATGGCTGTTCAATGTTCATTGTCACTGTTCAATGGCTTTCTACCCATCAAGTGAGCAACTGGTAGCCATGGTGAGAGAGGATGAAGAGCAGTAAGAGCTAGTGATGGCAAGGGCAAGAAAGTAGACTCTTTATGGGAGGGAGCCCATGGAAGGTACCATGCCTCAGGCCCATCAAAAACCTGGAGCCAGCAATGTTTGGAGTGCCACAGGCTCCACACCCTGCAATAGGCTCCCAATTACGTTAGCAACACATATTTAGCTTAAAATCCCCACTCACAAGGTTTCCTTTCTTCTTCTCAAGCCCAAGGTTCCCCCCATCACCCCAGTCCTCAATTAGCTCAGCAAATCTTTCGAAATATCAATGCATTAGAAAAGGGCAGGAAACAACCGATCAAATTTTTTCTCTGTACACCATCTTTTCACTTTCTTAAGGCTATTCCCATTGAACCACACCCAATTTTTTTCCAACATCCTTGCACACAACCAAGGAGCTATTCTCCTATCCCAATACTCCATTGGGTTCCCAATGTCATTATTTTTAAATTTCATATCATACTTCCTTCAAACAGGATTCAAACCACCTATGCCTCAAGCCAGCCCAAATTATTTACCAAATGCCTGAAGACCGTAGATATAGCCCCATAAGCAAACTTCTTTCCTTAAAATTAATCTCCCTTCTGGACTCTATGCTGCCTGTGAACATTTTGCATATAAATCTCAATTTTAAAGTACATTTATAGACAGAAGTTAAATATTGGAACCAATTAAATGTGTCAGAATCTTGGACATGACCCAATATGATACCACTTTTCATGATAATCTCTTTATTCACTCAATTAATTCTTCTATGACATACATCTAGATCATCATGAGAATCATCCAAAATTCACTTTGTTCACAAGCTTTCTAAGAAAGATGGCTTCTGTTAATTGCTATGTCCTTTTACCAAATTTGTATTTATCCATTGTGTGAAATTATAATATATAAGGGCCCACAAAGCTCTTTAATTTCACAGTCCAGCTCCACGAGTGGCAAAATAGCCATGGTTTGTGCTCTAGTATGTTCTGAGCTAATTTTGAGAGATTAATCAAGGAGTACCACACACATAACTATTTTCAGGTTAGACCCTCATGATATATCTGGCATCCACCCTATTCACTTTGGGATGGATCCAGATATAGGTGTGTGCAAGTGAGTTGGTGGAAGTTGATTTCCCTGCCTTTCCTTAAGCATATCTGGCTGTACTGAGAGGCACAGGTGCTACTGAATGGGACAGACTGTGGTGTGAATAGAAGGGGAGGGGTGGATCTCTGAAAATTGGGCAGAAGTACCTTCCAGGAGCAGAGCTTTCCTCATGCAACATGTCCATGACTAATTTTCAGGGACCCTTTATTTTTTCTCAGCTCTCCATGCCACAGTCTACTTGATTCTGTAAAGCACCCCATACAACTAAGTAAATTTTCAGGGGCTTTCACAGTTACTGAGGGGAAGAGGGTGTATGGAAGTTCACTTCTGTCGAACTAACTGCATATATCTACACAGGAACTTAGGAAATTGCTATCAGAACACCAGGCCATCACAGGCCAGTATTGTCCACAATAGCTGTAGGATTTTAGGCAGGACTGTCCAGCTCTATCTGGAGATACCAGGGATTCAACCTGGGATCCTCTGTATGTAGAACATGTGCCTTTCCACTGAGCCATGACCTATGATTTGGAAAATCTGGATCCAACCCATTATGTACAACCTTGACCTCTTACAGATGTCCACAAGAGATAAAAGAAGTATATATGAGAGGATACATAAAAGCTTCAGACTCCACTCCGTGGTGGAGTGTAACTTTGGGAAAGTGTAACTTAGGGATGGTGTAACTTAATGACCTGCAATAGCAGGGGGTTAGACCTGATGGCCTTCTGGCATCTTCCAGTTCTACTGTTCTGTGATTCTATGTTTCCAGATGATTTCCTGGCTGCGTGATCTCCTTCCTTCCCCATCCTTTCATTTACCCCCTATGCATGTCTGTGAAAGACTCAAAGAAGGCACAGCACTACAGTTACTGATTTCCCTCTAACAAAATGGTTTCAGGAACACACCTGCCCCATAGCATCAGATGTCTTACCTGGGTAATGAACTGTACTGCCGCTGAGCTTGCTGGAAATTCTCTCTTTCTTCTTGCCGCTGCTTTTGCATCTGTACTTCAACCGATACCGAATGCCTACCACTTTGCGAGTAAGTCTTTGAATTTGGCTAGGACCATAAAAATAAAAAATACAGGTCTTTTTGGTTGACTTTGAAACAATGAATAATGCTATTTTTCTGTACACAAACAATAACCTCCCTGCACAAAAGGCTGAAATAGACCTGAACAGCAAACAATGGCTGGTTGAATGTTTTCGGTTTAGGATACATCTGAACTTGGTTTTTTGAGCACAGTAATAACTGGGTTAAATTCTGTCTGCCATGTTGAACCTTGTTCTTTCCAAGGTCTCCTTGTAGTCTTATTTTTAACAATGGTATATTCATCTACTGCAACTCACCTGCGTCAGATGACACCCATATCTTTAGACTTGGAAGAAAGGGAAGAAGGAAAAGAATGCTGGTAAGTTTGGGGAAGAGGAACTGAGGTGGGGAAAATGACAAAACGAAAGGAAATAAGAATAGTTGAATTACAAATGCATGTGGCCTTGCATCCCATGTAGGAAGAATGGCAGAATGTAAGTGTAGTTTTGTTGTCCATGCTACATTGCATTCATATCCCACCTTTCTTCCCTTTCCAAAGAAACCAAAGCAGCCTACAAGGCATTTCTTCTCTCCATTTTATCCTCAAAATAACCCTATGACATAGGTTAGGCTGAGAGTCTTTGACTGGTCCAATGTCACCCATGAGTTTTATAACCAAGTTGGGACTAGAACCCAGCTCTCCTGAGTCCTAGTTCAGCTCTCTTTACTACACCACCCTGGCTTTCAACAAAACAATAAAAAAGAGGCATGCAAGAGGAGTTTGATAAAAGGGATTTGTAGAATTAACCAATCTGAAGAAACTTCAGAACTCAATAGGAATTTGAATACATATGCCTCCTTTCCAAATATGATACTCTATTACTTGCAAGAACTTGCTGATTAAGTGTGATCCATCATTAATCTAGACCGAAAGGTCTAAATCTTTGTCTCTACTCAAGCTGAGAGAATTGAGAGAATTAAGACATACATTAGGTCTTGCTCTGAAGCCTTTCTCCTGATGCCCCCATCTTTCAGGGTTTGGGCACAGGATGACGAGAGATGAGGCCTTTCTATGGTCATACCCCCTGCCCACAGAGGCTCAACTGTTGCCAATACTTCTATTTTTCAGATGCCAGGCTAAACCTGTCCTGTTTATCCACACTTTTAACAATAATTAGGAGCTAGTAACAGGATGGGTTGTATTCATTATTTTTGTTTGTTTTGCTTTTAATGCCAGAAAGTAAATAAATAGATAAGTCTCAGGCAAGGAGGAAATACTACAGAGGGCATTGGGTTGCAAAATATATTTCATAGCTGACAAAAGGAAATCTACAGACCACTCCATGCCCCAGCTCAAACCTTGTGTTTTTGTAAATGACTGACAATACATGTTAGGGATTTTTCCACATCTGTACACAATGTTTAATCCTGGGAACAGTCTACATCATGAATGGGAAATAGAAAAATAACCCCCCACAAAGTGAAAAACTATATTCCAGGGTACTGGAACTCAGAGTCCCAAACCAGTTAACACCTGTACAAACAGGGCAACAGAAGGCAAAGTATAATTATCCTAATTCTTTAAAGCTATCAAACAAAGCTGACTCAGTTTTAACTGTGCAAATTGCAAAGAACTCTAACCTTGTTTGGGAGGGGATGCTGATCTTTTAAATCAAATGGTGGTCAAGGCCATCATAATGCACAAGGCTGTAGCACACAAATAAATAGTTGTTTATGTTTTCTGCAATGAAACGTTGGTGAAATTATTGCAACTGTGTAGAGCACTTCTTAAGGAACACAGGGGGAAAAAGTCAACAGGAATGTTGACATGGAGAACATTCAGACAGAAGATCGTTAAAGGGATTCTACACTAATAACTTAGTAAAAGTAATATACTTTTCAGAATTTTGGAGAAGTGATATCAACAATTATTTTGTATACTGTACATTGCCTTAATAGAAAAATATCAGATATGCAGAGATGCTATGGAAAATCTCATTCATATGATATAAATACGTAACAGAATTGCAAGAAGATTCAGGACTTTCAGAAGGATGGAGCTGAAACAATTAGAAATATATTCTCTTATTTATTTCCTAAAGAAGAAACATTGCTCAGTTTGTACTATAGTAAGATTAGAAATAACCACTGGCTGGGAAAAGGCAGAAGGTTCATTGGGAGAACCTGCATTTCATCTTCTGAAATGGACTCTAGTAGACAAAAAGCTTACAGCAGCACAATACATTTCTTAGACTAGCACCATTATCTCTCTGGAACTTACATACGTGTATGCTACACTCTCAATGATGCTTCATTAGTAACAGCAAGGTATTAAGAACAAAACGAACTATTAGGAAAATGGGAATCTGTTCCTAAGTTATTGCGATAGATACGGTAACCCAGAGGGGGAGGGGGGAACAAATCATAATATATAAAACCCTAAATGGCTTGGGGCCAGGATATCTGAGGGAACATCTACCCCCTTATGTCCCAACCCAATCACTGAGATCTTCATGGAGACCCTTCTCCAGATCCCTCCCTCAATGAAGTAAGGGCGGGAATGGCTAGGAGAAGGGCCTTTTCTGTGATAGCACCTCACTTGTGGAATTCACGTCCATCAGAGGTTCACCAGGCATCTTCCCTTTTCTATTTCAGATGCAAATTGAAAACATTCCTTTTCTATAAGTACTTTGGAGAGTAGTTTTAATGGTTCTTGTATTGGTTTTATTGCTGCTACTTCCATGTTATGAATTTTAATTGCCAGACAATTATACTTTATTTACATTTTTTCTATTTTAGTCAAAAGGATGTTTTAAAAGGTTTTATTAATTGAATGTTTAACTTTTATCTCTCCCTTTTATTGATTTGCTTTCTATTTGTTTTATTATGTATCATTCAAATGCATTAATTGTTTTATCTGTTGCCATATAATGTATTATCCAGAGAGCTTTATGGCTATGAAATTTGGCATACAATTCTCATAGATGATGATGATGACGACGACGACGACGAGGAGGAGCTAAAAGGCCTTCGGCCTGATAGAGCAATGCCCTGCATTATGTCCTTCTGTCCTGGTGTACACAGAGAGTTCCTATGTTCCTACATAAGGGGCGACTTCCTCATTCATTTCTCTGTGGAACTACAGCACAAACAGAGCTGTCCCAATCATGGGTCCAAACAGAGAAGTTTAAGGGCTTTCTGGGTGGTTAACAAAAGTTTAAAGATTAAAGTTTAAAGGCCCTTCTCCTGGTAGCCACCCTCTTTGGAGAAGAAGTCCAGAAGATGATCTTAGGGCCTGGGTAGGTACATAAGGGACAACAAGGCGTTCCTTCAGATAACCTGGCTCCAAGCCGTTTAGGGCTTTCAATGTTAATACTAGCCCAGACTTCAGCTGGGAGTCAGTGTAGCTGAAAGAGGGCTGGCATAATATGTTCTCATCAGTCTCACCAGCAGTAAGCGCGCGACCACACACACCAATCCCAAGCCGAGGCCCTCACTATCTTACTATCAGATAGCAGACACAAAAGCAGCCTGCAGGCACCATGTTAATGATGTTTGCTGCTAATCACTTCGTAAAATCCATTGGAAAAAAAGGTGCTGGAACGATGTTCCGGTGCCGTTCTATGACAAAAAAAAGCCCTGGTTCTCATCAGCCAGTCCCATTTAAAGCCTTGCTGCCCTGTTTTAAATCAGCGGAAGTCTCCAGTCCCTTTCCAAGGCAGACCCACATATAGGACATCTAGACAAGTAATCTAGACAAGAAGTTATCAGAGTGTGGATTACATGGAGCATCGCGTTCCGTCTGGCTCAGGAGTTTCATGCATGTGCTGCAAACCTATGAGTGCAATCCCATCTATTTTAGATAGGAAAAAGTCCTTTGACTTGCAGGGAGTAGTAGGACCTTTTTTTTTTTTTTTGCTGTGTTAACATGTATAGGATTCCTGAAAAGCTCTGATCTGGGCTGTTAGCATTCATGAAAAGAAAAAACAGATCACCATTCTAACAAAATCAAGACTCTAGAATACAGTGCTCTGAGCCATGTCACTGCCAGCAACATTTCTGCCCGGCTCTCTTCGAGAAATGTCAGTTGAAAGATTTTAACAAGAGTGTCTGCATCCATTAAAGTTGTTGGAGCAACTGCCTTGAGGATGGGAGTTCATTAATTATTGGCAGAGCAGATATATATTCCCAGGCTGAAGTGCCAGCTGTCTCACAGCCCCTCAGCACATGGTCTGCCAACGGGATCGTAGTGGAACAATGTGAAATGGACACTTGCCCACTCTGATCCGGAAGAGGCATATGGTCATGGCCATCCGCCAGGGATCGTTGGAAACTGTGATTCAGACAGAAGTCATTTTGTATATGTTGGGCATATACAGAAATTCTCATTTCTTTCTTTTTCCTCATTCATTCTTTCATTCATTCATTCATTCATTCATTCATTCACACACACACACACACACACACACACACACACACACACACACACAC